AACTGGAGAAATACTGGGCTAAATTCATGCCTTGTGAAACAGCAGCAAGACTGATGAAGCACTTCAGGAATGATTTGGCCTACTACGTTTCGAGCATTAATTTGATCAGGAGCAGTGAGTCAACAAGGCAAATCCCACGCAGCGAGGAACTTCGCTCAACCAGCCTTGTGAGAACGAAGCACAACAGTTCGGATTAGGAAATGGTAAAAATGCAAAAGCTAAACATTTCAGCAAGGTATGGAGCATAAATTAAACAGCAATGTTAGGAAGAGAGATGAGGTGGTGGTCAGTCCTATTGAGAAAGGCAATCTTTTCAAGTGAATTCAGTAGTCCTTAAGAGACCACAGCCAGGCCGCCCTGCGCTGCTCCTCGCATCACACTCCAGGTACCTGCTGAGGCATGCATTAGGTGAGAAGACTCAGTCACACAGTCTTGTGCTGTTAACCCCCAGAGAAGCCTGTTGACACAACAGGATAGGCCTACAGCCATATGCTGGCTACCTGTGGAAAAAAAACCTGGGCAAACAAAAGAAAAGCAATTTCTTCCCCCTGTACTCTGCATGTAAAGGAGAGGGTTGTGAATGCCCTTTGCCAGCCCCAGGCCTGTCTGGTGCCTGCCCACTGGTGTGGAAGTCTATCATGCTGCACACTGTACCATCCACAAAGGATCAGAAAAGCCATGCTTGTCCAGCCACCTACCTGTCTGGTCCTCCTAGTCTGTCTGCTGAGAGAGAGAGGCTGGTGAAAGACTCCCATGATGTGCTTTCTCCTAGTACAGGTATTTATCATCTCAGAATGGAAGACACCAACCATTTTGCACTTGTCAAACCCTACTACCTGCAAAATGTGGATTCAAGCATGGCCAGATAGAAAAGCCTTTACATTCCCCACCCCCTTATAACTCGAGCCAGCAACTCTTAAACTCCACTGAGCATTTTTCAAAAGTTTCATCCCTACATGTGTTGTCTCTTCAACAACCTTGTGTACTCTTGGCAGAAAGGCATGTAGCACCTTTCTACCATTAAATGTATTAAAACTGGCAGTGCTGTCCCCTGCCCAAAGTGCAGTAATGCAGGTCTGCTCTGGACTACTAGCTCAAATCAATTACAACAGCTAGAAAGAGTAAACCTAGTACACAACCAGTTGCGGGGGTAAAAAAACCTGTCACTTGTGACAACCTTGTGTACTCTTGGCAGAAAGGCATGTAGCACCTTTCTACCATTAAATGTATTAAAACTGGCAGTGCTGTCCCCTGCCCAAAGTGCAGTAATGCAGGTCTGCTCTGGACTACTAGCTCAAATCAATTACAACAGCTAGAAAGAGTAAACCTAGTACACAACCAGTTGCGGGGGTAAAAAAACCTGTCACTTGTGATAAAAAAGAGAAACAGAAATTGATTTGAAACATTTGTTTCCCTTTATTTGCTCAGTGAGGCTGATGTGTACTGCACATTAAAAAAAAGAAAAAAATCACAGGAATTTTCATACAATGAATTAAACCACAAAAGTACATGTAGAATCGGCAGGTGGAAAATAGCCCAGCTTGGGCTTAACTAGTATCTTGCTTTCCCTGTTCAGCATAGTCCAACCAACAGCTTTACATGTTCACCTACTGTACAAATCTTACAGTAGCTGCATCAGGTCAGTGGTTCACATTATTGAAAATGTCTGTCACATAGGTACAAATTTAGAATCATCACATTATATTACATGGCTATTCTAGGTCATGTATAGATCAGATCTTATACTACAGTGATTGAAGTTCTCATTACAGCCATCAAAAAGGACACATAATCATTACCTACTGTAAGCTTACATCTAAAGGGATGAGAAGAAGGTGTGCTTGTCTTGTGATTTTTTTTTTTCAACTGACCCAAGTATTATACCCCAGAGGCACAAAATTTCCTCTCAGTGCTGCTCTCGGTGATGTCTTGAAGCAGCCCATCTGCTTTTCAAAGCAGTTTAGCACAGGTATTTTTCTCCAGCTTTAGGCTCTCTCTGTTCAGATTAGTATTTAGATCATTTTGCATCCTGTAGGAATTTGTTACAGCTCTAGGAAAGACCATAGTTTCTAAGTACCAGTTCTGTTCCCTGTATTGAGGATGTGGTACTTACCACAGCATGAAAGCAACAGTACAATCTTCATCTAAAAGACACACAGAGCCATGCTGCAATTTGCCTCTGGTGACAATGTGGTACATGTGCTAATTTGAAATGTTCTTGGGGGAGAAAAGAAGGAAGAGGAAACACCGACTTTATATTTTGATGGGTTTCCTACTACAGTGTCTATGAAAGATCCAAACAGCTTTATTCAGCAATCCTAGCTCTATTAATTTCATATGTAATTTGTAAATCCACAGAGGAAAGCCATCTTCAGGATAAGAATGTTTGCCAGGCCAGTGAAAAAAAAAAATTGACTCATGTTATTATGCCTGCTTGGTGAAAAATAAATAATCCCCCCCAAACCCCACACCAATTTATTAATGTCAGCAATCTAGGGCAAAAGAGAATGTATTTAAAATTTAATCACAGAAATGTAAAGGCAAAATAGGTAATGCATCTGGTCCTTGAACACATAATATGATATACTAAATATTGATTTCTTAAAAATAATTTATTGCTTTTAATATTTTTCTTTACAACAGAAGATACTCAAAATCCAGAAAGGAAAATTGTAAACTTTTAGTTTGGCATTCACACAAAGTTAAAATACCTGCATTTTTAACCTACAGAGCAACAACAAGAATTATGCAGATTAAAGAATGTTACATTTGTAACACAGAACCTCAAGAAAAGTTCTTTTCTTTTTTTTTTTTTTGTTTTATTGCTATCTATCTACTGAGAAATAAGAAGCCAAAAAATCAAGCAAGCATCCGACAAGACATACAGTGGAATCTCTCAGAACACAATATGCTGGTGATAAAATGAATGCAGCCATCAAAATCAACTGCACTGGCATGGGGGTGGAATCAGTTTTCTAAGATTTGGAGTGGGAAAGTAGATTAAATAGTTAGGTGTGCCATACCTTTAAGAGGAGTCATGAATGCCAAACAGTAATAGAATAACAAATCTATACATTCACAAGCAAATCCCAAACTCTGCTGATTCAGTCTAGAGACTCCGAGGTCAGATGAAATTCTGATGCTCAGAATAGCAGTAGTTTACTCTTGTGGTTTTTTTCTTTCCTGAAGTTCCTATTTAATTTAGCAGGAGCAATGTCATCAGCAACAATGTCATGGGCACATCTGAGGCCATGCTAGTGCATAGTAAAAAAAAAAGGAAAAAAAAACCCAACCCACTGCTTCTGCAAAAGCTGAATTCCCAAACAAAGCACTTGCTTACTCCAAACTGACAACCATCATGCATCCTAGGTATAAAATTTCCACTGGCCTTTTTATTCTTTTAGTCTTCTCATAATTTATAATAAATAGGATAATTGCAACTGATAAATATGTCTCTTTAGTAAACAAAGGAATGAAGGATCGGTATTTATACATGATGTATAACTGTAAAAAATATAGATAAATACCATCATTAAACTCTGCCAATGAAAAGATTACTGGCTTCAAGAACAGTGTTTAGACACAAATTACGGTAAAAATCATACTGTACTTAGTACCTCGGCATATTTTTATCAAATTAAATCAAAAAATTAAAACAAAATAGCATTTTAAAAAGATTTTTGACCTCTAGTTCCAAAACTACTGTTGATACATAAAATAAAAACATTTCTTAATGATTACCCATTTGAGAGACTTTACATAAAATTATGATATCTCCTAGAAAAATTTAGATGAGAAAATTTCATTCCCCTAACAAATTCAGTGTATAAAACTGCAAAAGAAAATCAAGCAATGAGAAAAACGTGGAAAAATACTGCAGAAGTGGTTAATACCTTTGGGCTAGGATAATTCTTGACAAAATTCTTATATAAGCTCACCAAAGAAGGGATGAATGTGTGTAATGCATTTTTGCACTCAGACACACGCACACGTTGAACACACACACACCCTCACCCACACGCTTTTCTCTCTTTTTTACAATCAAATATATATAAGCGTAAGTTCAGCTTTCTACATATGTTAGTGTACAATAATTGTTTCACCTCATATAATTACATTTGAGTATTCTTGATTAAGAAAAGGCAGCAGGTTTTGAAAAGAAGGCTGCATTTACAGTGCATAGCTGTAACAAAAAAAGAACGTCGTCATACAGTATGTACATAAATAAAAATACTCCATTTAACATTTGTAAATACTCAACTACTTTAGAGAATGTAGCAAATAAACTATCTGTGCACACACCCAGATAGTTATATCCAACTCTCATTAATAATGTAACACCACGTCCGCTCATTAGAATAAATCGCTGAACAAGCTGCACATTTGACCATTAACAAGGCTTTGAAAATTTTGCTGTGGAAGATCAATGTTGTAGACATTTACATGGGTGTCAGAATTAAAAGATGAAACTTCAAAATGTTAGGGAAGCTTGAGCCTTTCATTTTCTTCTCTGCAAGGACTGAAAAAAAAAAAAACCTACTAAAAAAAAAAAAACCCAACCAAAAAAAAGAACAATCTTAAAACAAAGCTAAAACAGATTGTAGGCTTCTGGGACCTGTGGTTTCTTCTGGATTGTCATATTATCACTGTGTTGTGAGAAGAAGCTTCTTTTTAAAAAAAAAATATGCAGTGTCTGATTCCCAGACATCAGCAGCCATAGTTCTCACATTGGGGTTTTTTTTTCTGTTTGTTTTTGTTCTTTTTTAGTTAAAATGCAATATATACAGATTTTGCAGTTCATCGTTGTACGTGTATCTCTGTGGAACTGCTGCCATGTCTCGTGATTTGCATCGAACTCGCAAGGAATGCCCGGCTCCCCCGCCACCGATCACCCGCGAAAGCAAAGCTGACACCCATGGACACACGTGTGCTTACTGGACAGCCATCCTGCCCCTCCACTCGTCGAGCAGCTGTGTTCATGTAAACCATGGTTTTGAACAGAGAGTGTAAAGTAGGAGAAATTCCTAAGTATGACTTTTTAGTTGTCCGTTATTGAAGGACGTGATGTCCGTGAGGTATTCGCCATCCCCTCGTTTGCCTCGGTTGTCATGCATGTTACCTACGCAGGCTCCGCTGTGCCTCTTTAAGTAAACTATCAAAATCCATGGAGTCATACTTGCTTTTAGTGGAAGCAGGATCAAAATCATCTGAGTTTGAATCTGAAAGCCAAAGGATGCAAGTTTAGGTAAGACGCAAGAGCCACTAGCGAGTACTTATTTTCTCTGTACATTGATACAAACAAGGCACTGAAGAAATAATTCACTTAAAACCACAACTTTATGGGATGAAATGGTCAACAGAGAAGCTTTCTGGTAAGAAGCAGGACTTAAGCGGTACATGTCATCAGGAGTGGGGGAGAACCATTAATTGCCTGAACATCTAGAGCAGGTTAACTCAAAACCTTTTCTTCAAGGACTTGAGCACCAACACACTCAAAATAGTCTCAAAGTAGTCCAGACAATCTTGACAGATGCTTTACCCAAAACTCCACTGTTGCCTTGCAATGGCTGCTTCACAACATGTAATATCCATGACTTACTTCTCCTGAGAAAGGTACTAGGAGGACAGCTCTGAAGAAAGGCAGGGTAGCCTGCAAGCAGCACACAGAGGACATGGCTGCTTCTGCCTGCCCTGCCTTGGGATCTTGTATGTCACTGTGGTTTTGCTTCCACTCATTTTTGGGGGTTTGCTTGTTTAGAGCGTGAGCAATTCAGGGCAGGGCCTCTACTAGGCTGTACAAGCAACCTCAGATGGGCTCCTCAGCTTTCTGCATCATACCTGGTAAGCCATAGCAGCAACTATGGTCCAGTTCATGTGACCTGTGACACCTGTTCCAGCTTTATCAGTTGCTGAGACACAGGCATCAGTCTGTTCCTAGCACAGAGGAAGGATTGTATGTTTGTGGCCACACAGCTCCAGTATGGCACTTACTGACATGGCTGCAAGCACTGAATTTCCTTTTGGAGTCAACCCTGAGTAACACTGACTCTCCCCAGATCCTGTGTCACAGTTCCTTTATGGGAGTGCCCTTTTCTTGCCAATTCTTGTGTTGAATTAATCAGAACTCCCCATCTAGCACTATAAGACACACTGTGCATTAAATGTTCATTACAAGTTCTGTTAAGACAATATCTTCTCACAGAGGAGAGGTGTTAAACTTCTGACTACTATTTTCAAGTGTTTTCTTTCTTCTGTACTCAACCCAAGGCTGATTAATTCTCTCTGTCCTGGTACCAGCTCATAAATTTTAAAGTTCATCCTGCCATCTCCTTATGTAGCTCTATCAGATTCTCTGCAAAATACAGGGAATGCAGTCTGAAGTACAGAAGCTCAAGCTGTCAGCAGGACAAAGTGAAAATAGTCTGCTCACAGATACTCTGGGAATCCCACTCACTATGGAGAGACCTGACAGGGAATACTCCCAGTGATAAATAATGTTCAAGAGGGTTCCCTTCAGACAACTTATTTTAAACCCCAGATTTTCTGAGATACAGAGATGACCTTGGCTTCCATTGCTGAAGATAAGTCAAATCAAGTCAAGACTTCAATCTGTTTTTACTGCTTTTATCAACCTACATTTCGACAAATGCCTTGCTACCTTTTATATTTTCAACATCAACCCTATATCTCTTCAGCACTCAATTGCCTTTTCTTAGCTTTACATTATCTGTTTAGCCACTGAAGTGAATTATAGCATATTCATTGTGAACAATGTGTATCATCTTTATAATTTATTTTGAAAAGACATCAATTGGTTAGAAATAATGTATCTGTATTCACTTCCTGCATTGTACAAAGCCAAGGGCAGCACATACAAGATTTCATTAGCACTGTGTTACAGGGTTATGAGAGATTTTAATGACTGTGGTCATTTATTCATAAAAAACCACAATATCTGATTAATATAGATTCAACAGCAAAATGTGCTTTGCTACGTTACTCAGAAAAGAGTAACTCCTGTGCCTTTAGTCTGTTTATACAGGTATTAGGAAAGGTTTAACATTTAATGAATACTTTGCATTTTAAAAGGTAATTAAATAAGAGGTGAGTTTATAATATATTCTAATATTACAGAAGTTGTTTTGGTACTCTGCATGGTCTCTTTATGTGTATACTTAACATCAATATTCCTTCTGTAAAACTTTTAACATCTCCAAAAATCCTTGCAAGGGAAAGCATCACACTCTGACCCAGAGCATAGGACAGAACCAAACATTTTTCCCAGGCAGGATTTGGACAGGTCCAGATGTGTTAGCACAGCAAATATGCACACTTAGGACTGGAATTATCACAGCACACTGGGGTTTGGAGTCTGGTATGCATAATGCCCCACATCAGCGTGACAGCAAACAGCAACAGATTTGCTAAGCTCTCCACAGGCTGAAGCCTCTTAAATCATGACTGGAAGTCCCTGCAAGGAGACACCTTCATACATATGTTTATGCATAATTTTAGAACCACCAGTTAAGATCTGTGGCTTGATCTCACCCCCACACTCAGGGTCAGACACACTCAAGCCCCTCTAGGTTTCAAACTTGAGCCACTATGAATTGTGTTTAAGGAATGGCTCTGGCAAAATCTACACGTCTACAATAGAACTCATGGCAAAGTAAGAACCATAATCAAGTTTTTGGGGTGAGGCATCTACACTGCTCTCTGTTTATCACTCGTAGAAATAAATGAGGTATTGGAACCACGCAGTTATAGCAATAAACAGTAAAGCATTTGGGAGGTTTCTGTGGTGCTATCATTTCAGCATGGAAATCTACTACTGAATACTGAGAACTCTTTTTTTTTAATGATGGAAATAGGCTTTAAAAGAATTTTCACAGTCTGAAATATTTGTAAGAAGACAGCTCAGATTAGTGGACTTTTAAACTTCTTTCAGCAAGTGAAAACTACTTCCTTCAACAACCCTCCAATCGTTTAAATAATATAAGCAGTAAACAAAAAAAGAAGCAAACCCTAAATTCCTGTGAGTTAGAAGATTCGAGTTTTGTACTTTAATTCACACAGAGCAAAATACCTACCTAGGTCTGCATAGTTAGACTTGCAAAATTGCTTGCATCCACAGAAGTACAGCTCAAAGTCAGGTTCATTGGACCTGCGTAAAGTGTATCCGTTTTCAAGAGCAGCGAAGGCGTCACAAGTATAGCGGTAGGTGATGAAACCATAGCTGTCTCTGCAATTGAAAAATACAGTTGTGAACAAAACCTGAAAAGAGTTAACACACATTAGTGTAACCCCTTCCTGAAAGCAAGAACTTGCAGGAGACCCAGCAGTGGAAATGCCAGAAGTACTGCATCCATTTATCACCATGATTGTCCTGTCATGAAGCTAAATACTTATTTCTGGGACAGGAAATCTCAACTAGCAAGATTAATAAATAAGGATGAAAGAAAATAAATAAGGTTTTGAACTCAGCATGTCATCCGTCACAGCACTTATATTGGTAACTCCTATACCAGTAATCTTACTGCCATAATTTTTTACATATGGCAGCTCCCAAACAAGAAGTAATCTCAAAAGTTCCTACCCATCATCCCGCAAATTTACTGTGCACTCCTCAATTTCACCAAAAACTTCAAACCGGTCCCTCAGTTCTGTTCGGGTTGTGTCAGGTCTGATTTTACCCAGATAAATCACACGACGTTCTTCCTGTTGATAAAGAGCAACAGGGAAGGCATAATTTTAACAAATGTGTAATGGAGATGAAACTATACATATATGCATGCAAATACACACACAGATGTGCAGAGGATGCATAATTATAGAAATAGTCTCTTGTGGAAGACCTACTGCATCTTGCTAGTAAGTGAAACAGTTCCCTCCTGGAAAGCATCTAAGGTATTTAAATGACACTACATTTGTCAGGTGGTGTGCTCCTGGAAGGGTTCACTGTTTGCTGTTACTGTTCTGCTGTACACTGACAAACAGCTCTCTCTGTATCCTACTGCACCTTCTACCCTTCCAACCTTTCTACCACTTCCCCTCCGGGACTGCAAACTCTCCCAAACTAGGAGCTCCCTTTCTCTTGCCATCTATACAATACTGGGTAAAATCCATTTAGTTGTAGAATAGGAAAAAGTAACACAATAATTGCATAAAAGTACTGTAGACGTGTATGCTATGTACCACACCACGTATTACAAACCTAACATTATAAACTCAATGTATGGTATGTACCACACCATGTATTACAAACCTAACATTATAAACTCAGATGACTCAATAGCTGATTGATCCTGTAATCCTGTTCCACCATAATCCATACCTTAAAACAGAGGGGAAACTGTTAGGGATTGTCATGGTTTAACCCCAGTCAACAACTAAGTACCATGCAGCCACTAGCTCATTCCCTGCTCCTTGGTGGGATGGGGAGGAAGATTCAGAAAAAAAGTAAAATTCATGTGTTGAGATAAGAATGGATTAATAATTGAAACAAAGTAAGCTACAATAATAATAATAATAGTAATGAAAAGCAGAGATAGAGCAGAATAAAACCCAAGAGAAACAAGTGCTGCACACTACAATTGCTCAGCACCCACTGACTGACAACCAGCCTGCCTCTCCCCGGTCAACTCCCCCCAGTTCACATACTGGGCATGATGCCATATGGTATGGAATATCCCTTCGGCCAGTTTGGGTCAGCTGTCCTGGCCATGCTCACTCGCTGCCTCTTGTGCACCTGCTCACTGGCAGAGCATGGGAAACTGGAAAGTTCTTGATTTAGAGTATGCAATACTTAGCAACAATTAAAACATCTATGTGTGATCAACATTATGCTCATATTAAATCCAAAATACACTCCTGTACCAGCTACTAAGATGAAAATTAACTCTGTCCCAGAAGAAAATAGGATTAGGTCCAAAACGTGACTTTTATTAAAGTAAGTATTTCTGAGGGAAAAGCAGGACAATAAAATACATCTCATAGTCACCATTGCCTTTTGGTTTATTCAGAAATCAATGACCTGACTGAAGTCCCTGACTTTCACAGGCTAGGGTGTCATTTGCATGTTCTTTCAACACTTGGAACAAAGCATTAGATACTTTTAAAACAATCCAGTCACGGTCATATCTTTCTTTCCTGAGTGGAAATGCTCAGCAAAATGAGGGAAGGACTACGAAACCCTGTAAGTCACTTGATGAATTTTTGGACAAACACTTTTCTGAGGGTAGAGCCATTTAGTGAGCTGCAAGCAAAGCAGAAAGCAAAAAGAGATCTTCAAAACACAGACCTTAAGGTAATCAGGGCAAAAAGCACCAGCTACACGTGGCTTGGGTGCTCAGCCTTCCTGTCTCAGATTGCCTCTGGCTTGGGCAACCCTGGCACTACTGGCCCTACTGCTCATCTCTTACACACACGCACATGAGTCCCATAAATCGAACCACCACCACCACCACCACATTCTCAGCTGGCATAAATCTGTCACTCAGTGCAGCAATGTCAGTTCAAACCATCAGTTTTGGCACCTGAGTCTTGCGCAGAATTTAGGTGTCGAATGCTGAAGGAGCTATACTGACTGCTGAGAATTCATGACTATCGTAACCTGGAGGTGCCTAAAGGCTAATGGCACCTCAACTGTGCAATGCAAAAGGCTCTAGGGACCTAAATATAGACTTGCATTCCT